TTATTTTATAAAAACTATTCTTATATTACTTCCCTATTCGTATTAGGTTTGTTGGATTGCTCACATAGCTGTATATATTCCGCCAGTGCTTCGACAACAGTATTTAGGTCTTTCGGTCATTCGGTGTAAAAAAAAAATCCGAGATGGAGACCTCTGCAACTTTTATCGTTCTCATTTGTGCTTTGATGTCTTCTCTGATTGAGGCAAATTCCAACTACGATGGCACATTTGAGTACTGTAACAAAACTGGCCCGACCTCCGAAATCTGCAAGCCCTGGAATTCGTCAGCCATCGTGGAGATTGAAACGGAAGATTTATATGAGGAGGGAATTCCAACTTTGAACCTGTATTTCAAGGAGGATAGTTCCCAGGAATTCAGGAAGTTGAATTTAACAGAAGGGGCATACAGCCGGTTCAATCTTTCAACGTCTCTCGTATTTGATGGTGTCAACATTGACGGAGCATCGGGCCCTTTTATCAATCAGGATAAAATCACGGCCATAAGCCTCATAAACAACGGTCTTCAAGAATTTCCTCGAGATTTCTTCAGAGGCATTTCGAATCTGATATACGTTCATGTATTCGGCCAAAATTGTCCGACATTATCCAAACATCTGTTGTCTGAGATTTCGAATAACATAGTGACTCTGCGCTTGGTGCAGAATTCTGTGACGAATATCGAAGCCGAAGCTTTTTCAAACTTCCGTAAGCTGAAATATCTGGTATTGTCGAATAATAGGTTGACGGAGTTACAACCTGATATGTTCAGTGGTCTCGACAGTTTGGAGGTTCTTGAATTGGATGGAAATAAAATAATCACCGTACAACCTGGAACTTTTGCAAGCCTATTGAAACTGCGTTGGTTGTTTTTGAGAGACAATCTATTTGAATCTCTACCCGATGACATTTTCACAGGTCTTCGTTTACAATTACTGAACTTTTCCGGAAATTGGACCGAGGATAGGTGTCAGTCTCTTCTCGAGCATCTCGATCATCTGCGCACTGGAACTTGCGGAGATATAATCATTACAAAATACACAAGTATAATGAGATTCTAAATATTGAAGCTTGTTAAAGAAATGGTAAATTCAAACTAGATATGATCATGATAGCGCTACATCATGTATATTCGTATAAAAATAATTGACATTGGCAATAAACAGTTTAAAACAACTGGAATTAAAAAGAGTAACTAAATCACTTTATTTTATTCCTGCTACTATTTTATATGGAGTGGGTAAAATATCTCTTTCCATCTCCATTAACGAAAAATATATTTAGAAAAATATACAAAATCGGACACCTCCATGTGTCTTCAATTCATAGAGAAAATATCAAAAATATATACA